AAGTCCCGTGGTATGGATCTCCCTGTGTGCCCAGAGGAAAGCATACACATCCGTCCTGGTCAGGATGCTATTGACGAATTCGGTATGACCAGTCCAATCCCCACCGTGAGTTGTTGTGGGCTGGGAGAGGAAAAACCTGGGTGACCAAGGTCCTGTACGCTACTAGATCCTGGGCGACTGCCGTCAAGGTTGTCAATGTTTCAGACCAGAATGTTTGGATCGACACTAGGACTGCGGTTGCGCGTATGGTGGAGTATGGACAATTCCCAGGACAACCTGGATTCGTTCGTCCTGGTAAAGCGCGGTATGAGGAAGGCAACAATTGATCCATGAATGTACCGTGTCACGTCAAGCAAGGATGCGTGCTGAGCGGTTGGAGCAGATTCTCAGGGAAAGGGAGCCTCCGTGCACCCAGACTCAGGGATATCAGTGGTCTACTAAGCTGTTAATGCGGCCACAGTCTCAAGCTGCTGAAGTGAAGATGGTGAAATTGCATTGGACATGACGATCAAGATCATTGGGAAGTCAGCGGTCGTCATGAACACAGTCGCGAGGGATCCCGAGGAGCCTGAGGCCCGTCCTGAGCCGGCAGAACATACACATCCTGACTCGAGTCCGGAAGTTAAGACCCTGGAGCCAGGGAGTATGGCAGACGTCGAGAACGACGCTCAGGTCCCTGAACCATCAGTAGATGCCCAGTCACAGACGAGCTGTTCGACACCAGTCCAAACGCTGGAAGCAGAATATGCTCGGGTAATGCAAGTCTCTGCTGAAGAATTGAACCTATAGCCTGCCGTATATCTCAAGGAAGGAAGCAAGTGGTCTGATGGCGCAGTTACGAGACCAACTTATCATGCTCCCGGAAATTAAGGAACTGACCCCAGAGTGTAACATTGACGAAGCTAATGTCGGAGTCCCAGGGGTCACAACTCCAGAGATCGAAGCCAAGATGAGAGGGATCCTGAAACGTCATAGCAGCATCTTCCTGGGAGATGCCAACGCAGCCCCAGCCCCGGTTAGGGGCGTAGTGTGTGATATCGGCAAGACCAGTGGCGTTACGTGCGAGGCGGATTGCCGCACCTTTCTTGGTGAAGGTGTTTGAACCCCTGAAGAAGTTGTTGGAGGCAGAGCTCATTGAGCATACAGAGTCCGAGTGGTCATCACCTATTGTGATTGTGCCCTATTGTGATTGTGCTGAAGAAAAACGGCATAGACATCCGAATGTGTATTGACTACCGACTTCTGAATCTGCTCATAAAGCTATCTCGCTACCCTCTACCCTTGTTCGATGACCTGCTGCTAGACTTCAAGTCCGCAATGTGGTTTGTGAGTCTCGACATGGCGAGT